ATATATATATATATATTATTTTAGTTGGGAGGTATCACTTTTTCTTAATGATTCTCCTTTGATTTAGAGATGAAAAAGGGAGAAACAAATTAAGAGAGAAAAGAAAGGAGAAAGAAGTAATCACATAAAGAATTTTCAAATTCTAAATATTTGTAATAAATTTATAATTTAAGGTAATCAAATTACTTTAATAAATAATTATAATTTTAAAACTTTTAAATACATTATCCAAACAAAGTATTTTAATGTCAATAGTTTCAAATTCTCACTCAAATAGAATTATACCCGGTTAATTTTTCCTATCAAAACATAAAGAGAATTTTGAAGTATATATTAATAAAATAATACAAATTAAAAACTGATGTGTTAAAATAATTTCATTTTCTTTTATCATTTTATAAAAAACATAAAACAATAGGAAAATTTTAATTTAGTTTAACTTGATCGATGCACATTCATTGTAAATTTTATTTGAAGATGTAGAACTTGTATTGATAGATTATTTTCGATAAAAAAAAATAACTATATCAATTTTACATTGTAGAGTAAACTTTCATTTAATTAGATCTTAAAAAAACAGATTAACATCACATGTACGTCTCAAATACAGGTGACATCTATTTAATTCGTCACTATTGAAAATTTGCGTCAAAGTCATAATTTTGTTTGCAAGAGATTAAAAAAATGATTTTTTTATTATTTTTTTTTTATCAAAAAGACAAAATAAATATCTGTTTTCTATAACCTCTAGACTCTAGTATTTAAGGTCATTTCTCCATGTGTCCTAATGTAATGTGCATTATCACAAAGTGCAATTCATATAATTCACACGTGCGGGAAAGTGTGGTTAAAAGTGCAAAAGCAAAAGAAAGAAAAATAAATTTATAATAAAATAAATCACGTGAATCATGTGAGAATTAAAAGTATTACCTATGAGTAATATTTCTTGTCACATACATTGCATCTGGGTTGTTCTAGTACTACTACAGTTGTTACATGCTTTCTCCTCCAATTAATGCTTGTAATTAAAAAATTATGAAGAAAGAAGAAGTAGGAAGATGAGGTCATGAGGACGAAGCAACCCATATGAATATATATCATCATGCTTAACATTTCCATGGAGATTCCTCCAATAATTTGATTAAAAAGGGAGATTAAACAACTATGAGAAGGGACTGGTTTCCGACAAGTACCTAATCTTATGCCGGATCACTTTCTTCTGTTCCTAATTAATGCAATGTTTCCATTTGATTATATGAACATTAATTACAAGATATTCTTACTTTGTAAGTTGCCCTAATGCATGTTAATGTTGACTTTATTATATATGCTGCATGGTGTTTAGATTCAACTTATATATGTCATTCATAATTTTCATATATCGATATACGAGTGATAATCATGATTTTGCTAGCATAGTGGTGGTTTTTCATGTTCTTATTTAAGCTATGATGCTTATGAGGCTCAGAAAGATGCAACTTAATCAAATAACTATGGAACTAATTAATCTCGTAGAAATATATTTAACAGCAATTAATTAAAGTATTCTTGTCGTAGAAAAAGTGACATTAATTTTCTGTTTTGAACTTCATATATGTTACATATATATGCCACGTGGAGGTTGGAAATTAAAATGTCAAACAGTTTAACATTAATTGTATTCTGTTGAAGTGTAGTCTCGAGTTTGAGTTTCATTGTCTCACGTTTGTACTCTTGAAGAATCCGAAAAGTAATTTTGTTTTTCAATTTTTGAGAAGGCAAATGTCCTTTTTGAATAGAGAGACATGATCAATAATTTAGAGATATTAATTTATATAACATTTTGGGGGCATTTTGACTTTTAAAGATGTTATTTTCCGCGACCCATAAAGTATTATATCCGTTGTGGAATTGTGCTGGACGAGTAATTGAGTTGTCTAAACAACTCAAAATAATTTTGTTATTTTAGTATTTGACGACATTAACAACTGCTATTAATATGTTTGTTGTTAAGTCGGTTGGGATTTGCAACCATTTTTTACACGAATTTATTTAACCCTGGTTACAGCACATGAGCACAGATTGATTTGGACATACCACCAAAAACCACTCTGTTTGTCTTTTTGACATTTTTATTGAGCTGATGTGTAACAAAAACACGTTTTATTCAAATTAATTTACCTTGATGACTTATCAAGCTTTACAACAAAAATAAAAATAAAAATAAAATAATTGTGTACTTTAAAATAACAAAAACTAGATTTAATAGTATCATGATACACAAAATGAAAATTTTTATCCCTTCATATAAAATATTTCTCATATGATATAAGATCAAAATTCTACATCAATATAATAAAATGATGGATATATATTTATAAATACATATATACAAAAATTTTATCAATAAAATAAATTTTTAATGATAGCTAAAAATAAATTTATGAAAATTTAGACTCAAAATAGAAATATCTTATCAATGTAAAAATATATACAATAATCCTTGTAGGCAACATTTCAATCATCTCATTAACTTTGTGATGAAATCATTTCATCTTACATTTAATGATGAGTCTTTTTATAATAAAGCATGTGACATGTTAAAATGAGCTATAAATCACAATAATAATTAACTTGTAATTATATTACAATCATGGGTCATCACATTCATTCTTATTGCTTCTATATACATAACAGGATTACACTCAAATGTGACAATTAATTTAATCACATTCTTATAACTGCATGCTATAACAGGATTACTTAAATGTGGTAAATCTGTAATATGAAGCTCATCACGTGAAATTTCGTGTTGAGTTAATAGAAAATTAAATATTTGATTAAAAAAAATCTAGTATGTTAAGCATTATTATAGCACAAAGACATCCTAATAATATTGACACCACAAAGTCTACCATTCATTTGTAGTACAATTGAATATAATAAAAAGGAAAAATAAAGAACTTAGGGAGATTAGACCAAAATCATTGAAAAATTAACAAAAATAAAAAGAAGGTAAATCACAACGACTATGAACAAATTTTGACCGAATAAAAGATGGTAAAGTGTCTCACCAAATAAAACCAATCTTATGTGCAAAATCATATGCCACAAGTCTATCAGCACATTGATTACGCTCTCTAAAAATATGATAAGTCTGAAACTGCATCTTAGAATACAAAATCAAACAATGCTTCCATCGACTACAAACAAACCAATGCACTAGAATAGGATAGTGAAAGGCATGTAAAACCATC